GCAGAAGGCCGCCCACCAAGAGCCAGGGTCTGTCAGAGGTTTCTTCCGTTAAAGGGAGTTTTTCCTCCCCACTGTCGCCAAGTGCTTGCTCAAGGGGGATTTGTTGGGTTTTCCCTCTGCAATAATATTGATAACAGTCTAGACCTTACTTTGTAAAGTGTCCTGAGATTACTTTTGTTGTGATTTGGCGCTATACAAATAAAATTTGATTTGATTTGATTTGATTTGAACCATAAAAAACTCATAGTACTAGTGGAAAAAGTATGTGAACCCTTGAGTTAATGACCTCAAAAAAGCTAATTGGAGTCAAGTGTTAGCATACCTGGAGTCTTGTTAAGAAAATGAGTTTGGAGGTGTGGACTGGAGATACTTTGATTGATAAAAACCACTCAAACTTTTTGAGCTTGCTCCACACAAGAATAATACGCATATGTGAGCCATGCCTTGCCAAAAAGAGCTTTCAGAGCATCTACAATCTAGAATTATTGATATACATAAAGCTGGAAATGGTTAAAGTGATTTCAAAGACTTTAAAAATTCACCAGTGTAGAGTTAGGCAAACGATCTACAAACGAAGACACTTTGGGACTGTGGCTACTCTACCAAGAAGTGGGCGCCCAGTCAAAATGACCCCAAGAGCGCAACGAAGACTCATCAATGAGGTAAAGAAACTACCTCGAGTGACAGCCAAAGATTTGAAGGCATCATTGGAACTGGATAACTTTACGTCCCTGGTAGGCTAATGGTTAAGGCACAGCATCTACATGAATATTAAAGTCACCTACTATGATTATTTTATCTGTACTAAGCACTAAATCAGACAGACAGTCTGAGAATTCAGTTAAAAACTCTGAATAAGGGGCAGGTGGACGGTAAACAACAAATAGAACTGGCTTTTGAGTTTTTGGGTGTGAGAGACTCAGGCTGAGGCTTTCAAATGAGTTATAACTCCGTTTAGGTTTAGGGTTGATTAATAGGCTTGAGTTGAAGATCACACCTCCACCTCGGCCTGTGTTTTGAGAGATGTGACAGTTACTGTGACTAGGTGGGGTGGACTCATTTAGACTGATAGGTTCTTCCTGCTGTAACCACGTTTCAGTAAGACACAATAAGTCAATGTGATGTTCACTTATCAAATCATTCACTAACAGAGATTTAGATGAGAGAGAGCTGATATTTAATAGTCCACATTTGATTGTCCTGTTACTTTCTGTTATAAGAGGAGTCGTGTTAATTTTAATTAGGTTCTTGTGAATAACTCCTCTCAAGTTGATTTTTATTTATTTATATAATTTAGGTGATGGGGGCCAGACACAGTCTCAATGGGATACTGGGAGTTTTTGGGTGGGTAGCAGCTGCAGAGAGACAGCAGAGAGGCGTGTAAGACTGTGACCCTGCGTCCTGGACTCAGCTCTGGGTTGTCATAATTTAGGTTGTAAAATAAACTCGTCCAGATTTTTAGATATGAGAGCTGTACCACCGAAAGTGGGAAGGATGCCGTGCCTGATAATCACACTAAAATGTTTTACAATTGTGTATGAAGCCCACATCCTTTTCTAGACACCAACTAGACAGCCAGCTAGAATGACCTAGAATGACCACAGCAGCAAAACACACAGCAAAATCCAAATTACATTTTGAGTATGTTGTGGGAAGGCTGTCAAACTGAATTGCCCATTTTGGGATTAATAAAGTTGTCTGAAATCTAATTTTACCAATAATTTGTCGATACCCTTAATACTCAGAATTTGGCAATTCTTTGTTCAATGCAAAATTTTGTTCACACAGTGTGTAAAGTGGGGAAAATCAACTTGTCAGTGTTTCCATGACTTTCTCATTATTGGCCTACACAACCCACTCTTATGTTCCTAATTATGTAATTTGCATTATAATATATGTAGCAATGTAACCACATTACTTAAAATGAGGTAAATGATCATTTTAGTTCCATAATTATTGGAAGAACTTTGTCCTGAGGGGGACTGGACCTTTGCTGTTGCTGCTCCTAAGTTTTGGAGTAACCTACTGCCAAAGTTGTGCTTAATATTGGATGTGGTTTTCTTTAAATTAAAAACATATTTATTCAAATTGGCTTTTGGCTCACAGTAGGGCTTTGACACCCTGGTTACTGCCTCTGTAGGTTCCACTGTGGATTGGTTGTATTGTATTACTGGCTTTTATATTTATTTATTTTTCATTATTGTTTTTATTTTTATTGACTATGAAGCATGATGGTGAATCTTCTATACAAATAAATGTGGAGTTAATTTGATTTGATATTTTTTTACATTACAGTATTAATTAAAATTAATGACTTGGCTCCAGCCTCCCTTTCTTCTCTGACTCCATGTTTTTTATTTAATGGCGGTATTAACCCTAACCCTAATGCATTAGTGTCATGCTCCCCTGCAATGACTGATACATTTTGCATAGTTGCCACCAAACAGTCTTCTTTCAAATTGTAAAATAAAGTGCTCCCTTTTTTTTTTTTTGTTTTGCTGTAATCATGCTCACTGCTATCCACTGCTTCTGCCATTTTTCAAATGTTTTCATACACCTCACTGATGTAGTCCCCCAGTCACTGACCCAGCCATTTCACACAGCTACATAACTAGACCAACTAATTAATAATTAAATTCATTGCTAAATATTTTTATTATTGATTTTTTAAATCTATTTTATCAGTTTGTTGTAGCCATAGAATTAAAACAAGTGGATTTCAGTAAATATGTCACATACTGTAGTCACAGAAGATCCTTTTCTATGTCTTAGCCATTTGTGTAATATTTGGTGACTTGAAATTGGTTGTAACCAAGAGAATAATGAGCACTTTAAAAAAACTGGTTAGATGGAAATTGATGGAGAAATTGTGGATTGTATGTTATTGAAATGGTGGGTGGCATGGTGTTGCAGTGGTAAGCACTGCTGCCTCACAGCAAGAAGGTTCTGGTTTTGATCCCCGACTGACCCAGTGCCTTTCTGCATGTTCTGCTTGTGCCTGCGTGGGTTCTCTCCCGGTACTCCGGCTTTCTCTCACAGTCCAAAGCCATAGCTTAGGCTAACTGGTGACTCTAAATTGCCCATAGGAGTGAATGTGTGTGTGTGTGTGTGAGCCGTCCAGGGTGTACCCTGCCTCTCGCCCGCAGCTGGCTGGGATTGGCTCCAGCCCCCCGTGACCCTGTTTGGGACTAAGCGGTTTAGAAAATGGATGGATGGATGGATAATGGATGGATATTATTGAAATGATTACAGCTAGAAGGAAATTTTCTGTGCCTGTCTTGTTGGCTCAGCATATACAGTAGCCTAAATTTGTCATTACTTAGTCCTTTCTAGTTAAGTATTTAGTTCAAGTCTTGAAAACAGAACTGCTGTCTTACAGCAATCACTGGTGATCCCTTTTGGTGTAGTTTGTAAGTTCCTTCTGTGTTTACACTGGTTACCTCTCACCCCTAAGCCATATCAAGTACAGTATAAGGAACAATTGGTCATATTAATATAAGCATAACACTATCAGTCAAAAGTCTGGGCTTTCCCATTCATTCCAAAGTGAAAGTGTGTCCAAAGATTGATTAGTAGTGTAAAATAGAAATGTGTTTCTACTATTGAAGAGACGGATGCAACTGTGTTGTCAGTGGAGAAATTAACAAGAACCCGAGTCATGTAATCAATATTTTTCCACAGATATTCAGGAGTTCTATGAAGTGATGTTGCTAAACACACAGAAGAGTTGTGACCAAATGCTGGAAGAAGTCAACCACATGGCAGACAAGTGGGAGCTTGCACACCCTGCCTGTCCAGTGGAGGAGGTGAGTCCTGACACAGTGTATCGTCCCAGCAAAACCTCAGCCATACTTGGACTGAAGAATTATCTCAAGGTTGTCTGCTGAAGCCATTCAAATAGAACATAAGGCTGAGGTGGAGATATTTCTTGCAAACAGTATGGATTACCAGACATCAAGGTTCAGTGTTATAATCTAGCCACAGGGGTTTCAAGCTGGTGACTTCTGTGCCGGTCCCAAGCCCGGATAAATAGAGAGGGTTGTGTCAGGAAGCGCATCCGGCATAAAAACATGCCAAATTTAAACATGCGAATCGTCAGTGTGACTTCCATACCAGCTTGGTCGAGGCCCGGATTAACAACGACCACCACCAGTGCTGTTGACCTACAGGGTGCCGGCGAAATTTAGACTACTGTTTGTCGAAGAAGGAGAGTTGGCAGAAGGGTTCATAGACAGAGAGAGAAGAGGAAAGGCAGGAGTATAGGTCTGAGAATAGGGACTCTTAACGTTGGCACAATGACAGGGAAAGGTAGAGAGCTGGTGGACATGATGGAGAGAAGGAAGGTAGATATACTGTGTGTGCAGGAGACCAGGTGGAAGGGTAGCAAAGTGTGTAGTTGCGGAGGGGGATACAAACTGTTTTATTATGGTGTGGACAGGAAGAGAAATGGGGTAGGAGTGATCCTGAAGGAGGAGCTGGTGAGGAATGTTTTAGAGGTGAAAAGAGTGTCAGACAGGGTGATCAGTTTGAAGTTGGAAATTGAAGGGGTAATGTTGAATGTAGTCAGTGGTTATGCTCCACAAGTAGGGTGTGAGTTAGAAGAGAAGGAGAGATTCTGGAATGAGTTAGATGAGGTGATGGAGAGTATTCCCAGAGGGGAGAGAGTGGTGATTGGAGCAGACTTCAACGGGCATGTTGGTGAGGGGAACAAAGGTGATGAGGAGGTGATGGGCAGGTTTGGTGTTAAGGGAAGGAACCTAGAAGGACAGATGGTGGGATTGCTGCAGACCCCACCCACCCAGGCAACAGTCTGTTTGTGCCTCTTCCCTCCAGGAAAAGGTACAGGAATATAAAGACTAAAACAAACAGACTGAGACACAGCTTCTTCAGAGCTGTGAAATCAATCACCCCCCCAACCCCTAGTTACACACACAACCTCCCCCCTATGGAGAGACACAGACCACTGGACCTCACACCTCCTCCTAAAGACTGAGATTTGCACTGAGCTGCACCTTATAATGTTATTACACTCTTGATGCTAACATGCTGCTGACCTGAATTAGGTCCCATACATCCCTTTTTATAGTTCATATTTTTATATTGACTTATAATATTGTGTTATGTAAATAATGTGTCTTTGCTGCTAACATGCTGCTGACTGATTAGGTCCCATACATCCCTTTTTATTTGCTCATTGTTTTATATTGAGTTATAGGGGTGGCTGTGGCTTATGAGGTAGGGCAGTCGTCTTCTCACCAGCAAGTTGGTGGTTCGACTCCCGGTCTCCCCGCATGCCTAATTGCCCCTGAGCAAGACACTGAACCCCAAATTGCTCCCGGTGGTTCGACTGGCGCCAGTGTGCGGCAGCCTCTCGTCATCAGTGTGTGAATGTGTATGATCTCCTGTAAAGCGCTTTGGCCAGTGTAACACACTGAAATATGCGCTATATAAATACAGTCCATTTACCATACAATTGTGTGTTATGTAAATAATATGTCTTTTAAGCCGAGAGCTGCCGGAAAAAAATTTGTTGTGCTATGCATAATGACAATAAAGATTCTTGACTTGATAAGCTACCACACAGCTGTCAGGTGGCTCAGCCTGGGCAAAGTGCTGAAAAAATGTCTGGGACTTGAGAGAGGAGATTCAGGAGTTCTGTGTGAAGAAAGGAAATGACATCCCACAGCTTTCAGATGTAGACTGGCTGGCAGACCTTTGTTTTGGTGTTGATGTGACTGCACTAATGAATTAACTAAATGTCAAACTGCAATGCAAGGGCCTTTTTGTGCATGAAATGTACAGTGCAGTGAAAGCATTCATGAGAAAGTTGCAGCTTCTTTCAAGCCAAGTTAAGGACAACAATCCCCCCCACTTGCCAACACTGAAAGAAGCCACACTATCAGCTGATCACCTCCACAGATACTCATCCATGTTAGAAGCACTGCATGGTGAGTTTTCAAGGCAATTTCAAGACTTTAAAATTGTTGAGTGAAATGCACATGGTTTCTTCTCCCTTCACCTGCAGTGTGGATAATGCACCCAGTGATGTTCAGATGGAACTCACTGACCTGCAGTCTGACACACTTCTGGCAGAGCACTTTAGATCAGTCTCACTGCTGGATTTTTACTCTTCGCTCAAAGAGAAGTTTCCACACACGAGGAGGCATGCTCAGAAAATTCTAGTCTTCTTTGGATCTAACTATATATGTGAACAGACATTCTCAGTGATGAAGTTCAACAAATCCAGATACAAATTCTTATCAGTGATGATCACCTCTCAGCTATCCTTCGTATATTCACCTCAGATATTCAGCCAGATTTCAATGCACTTGTTCAAGCCCAAGCCAGACTGGATTTCTCTCACTGAACAAGTAAAATGAACTGAAAATGCATATCTTTAACAAAATGTAAAACACCTTTTCAGTGTTAGGTCAAAGGTCAAAGTGTTTATTCGTCATGTGCACAGTTAGGAAATGTGTTTCCCTGTACAATGAAATTCTTACTTTGCGTTCCACATGAATGACACACAATACAAGTGAAATATACAGTGCCTTGCGAAAGTATTCGGCCCCCTTGAACTTTGCGACCTTTTGCCACATTTCAGGCTTCAAACATAAAGATATAAAACTGTAATTTTTTGTGAAGAATCAACAACAAGTGGGACACAATCATGAAGTGGAACGAAATTTATTGGATATTTCAAACTTTTTTAACAAATAAAAAAACTGAAAAATTGGGCGTGCAAAATTATTCAGCCCCCTTAAGTTAATACTTTGTAGCGCCACCTTTTGCTGCGATTACAGCTGTAAGTCACTTGGGGTATGTCTCTATCAGTTTTGCACATCAAGAGACTTAAATTTTGCCCATTCCTCCTTGCAAAACAGCTCGAGCTCAGTGAGGTTGGATAGAGAGCGTTTGTGAACAGCAGTTTTCAGTTCTTTCCACAGATTCTCGAGTGGATTCAGGTCTGGACTTTGACTTGGCCATTCTAACACCTGGATATGTTTATTTGTGAACCATTCCATTGTAGATTTTGCTTTATGTTTTGGATCATTGTCTTGTTGGAAGACAAATCTCCGTCCCAGTCTCAGGTCTTTTGCAGACTCCATCAGGTTTCCTTCCAAAATGGTCCTGTATTTGGCTCCATCCATCTTCCCATCAATTTTAACCATCTTCCCGGTCCCTGCTGAAGAAAAGCAGGCCCAAACCATGATGCTGCCACCACCATGTTTGACAGTGAGGATGGTGTGTTCAGGGTGATGAGCTGTGTTGCTTTTACGCCAAACATAACATTTTGCATTGTTGCCAAAAAGTTCGATTTTGGTTTCATCTGACCAGAGCACCTTCTTCCACATGTTTGGTGCGTCTCCCAGGTGGCTTGTGGCAAACTTTAAACGACACTTTTTATGGATATCTTTAAGAAATGGCTTTCTTCTTGCCACTCTTCCATAAAGGCCAGATTTGTGCAGTATACGACTGATTGTTGTCCTATGGACAGAGTCTCCCACCTCAGCTGTAGATCTCTGCAGTTCATCCAGAGTGATCATGGGCCTCTTGGCTGCATCTCTGATCAGTCTTCTCCTTGTATGAGCTGAAAGTTTAGAGGGACGGCCAGGTCTTGGTAGATTTGCAGTGGTCTGATACTCCTTCCATTTCAATATTATCGCTTGCACAGTGCTCCTTGGGATGTTTAAAGCTTGGGAAATCTTTTTGTATCCAAATCCGGCTTTAAACTTCTCCACAACAGTATCTCGGACCTGCCTGGTGTGTTCCTTGTTCTTCATGATGCTCTCTGCGCTTTAAACGGACCTCTGAGACTATCACAGTGCAGGTGCATTTATACGGAGACTTGATTACACACAGGTGGATTCTATTTATCATCATTAGTCATTTAGGTCAACATTGGATCATTCAGAGATCCTCACTGAACTTCTGGAGAGAGTTTGCTGCACTGAAAGTAAAGGGGCTGAATAATTTTGCACGCCCAATTATTCAGTTTTTTATTTGTTAAAAAAGTTTGAAATATCCAATAAATTTCGTTCCACTTCATGATTGTGTCCCACTTGTTGTTGATTCTTCACAAAAAATTACAGTTTTATATCTTTATGTTTGAAGCCTGAAATGTGGCAAAAGGTCGCAAAGTTCAAGGGGGCCGAATACTTTCGCAAGGCACTGTATAAAGCACTTGAACACAGCCGAGGCCAACAAAGTGCTTAACATAAGATACAATTCAAAACATCTAAAAACGTGACAACTACAATATTAAAATACCAATAAAATAACATAAAAGAACCAACATAGCAAAATAACAAAATACTATCAACCAAAACTCAGCCCAAACAGAGTCTCATAGCATATCAAACGCCAAAGCATACAAGTGAGTCTTCAAGTAAGTTTTAAAAATAGCCAACGAGGCGGCCTGCCTGATGTAAAGGGGCAGCGCATTCCATAGCTTAGGAGCCACAATGGAAAACGCTCTGTCCCCTCTGAGTTTACGCCTGGCCCACGGTACCTCAAGCAAGAGCTGGTCAGCTGATCTGAGGCACCGAGAGGGACTATAAGGAAATAAAAGCTCAGCAAGATACAATGGAGCAAGACCATTCAAAGACTTAAAAACAAATAAAAATCTTAAAATGAGTCCTGAAAAACACTGGAAGCCAATGAAGGGATGCCAAAATAGGAGTTATATGCTCCCTTTTACGCACCCCAGCCAAGAGACGGGCAGCCGCATTTTGAACCAATTGTAGACGAGCCAGTGATGACTGGCTGACTCCGATATAAAGAGCGTTACAGTAATCCAAGCGTG